CTCTGGGAGTGGGGGGGAAGGGGGGAGCTGAGGACTGTGGGGGGGAGGCTCAAAGAAGAGGCACTCTAGGAGTGGGGGGGAGGGAGGAGCTGAGGTCTCTGGGGCGACTGGCCATCCTCTGGAGAGGGAGGGCTCTGGGGTGGAATCTGGGGGGTTGGGGGAAGGGCTTGGAGGGAGGGAGGGGGAAGCTGAGGGTGGTCTTCCGGGGTTCTGAGGGGATGGGCTCAAAAAAAGGGGAGGGAGCTGAGTTCTTGAAGGGGGGAGGCAGGGGGAGGGGAGCTGGGAGACCTGTGGGGGAGGAAGCTGATTTATGTGTGTGTGTGTGTGTGTGTGCATGTGCACATGCACGGAGGGCACATGTGAGTGTGCGGGAAATGGGGGACGGGGGGGTAGTTGAGGTGGCTTTTGTGAGTGTGACAAGGATTAGCGGTAAACTGGGATGGGGAATGTGGGGGAGATGAAGTGGTGGGGGAGGCCCCAGGGAGGGGTCCTGAGTGGTAGAGATCTGGGGGGAGCTGAGGAGAGAATTGGAAGGGGTTGGGGAACTGAGGCCCCTGATAGGGGGTTGGGGTGAGAGGATCAGAGAGGTGGGGGGTGGAATCTAAGGGAAGCGGGAGATCGGGAGGCCATAGGAGTTGGGTGGAGGGGGAATTGAGGGGGGGGAGTGGGAAAAGCCTGTGGGGTGAGGGTGCCCTAGGTGGTGCTGGGTTGGGGAAGGGCCTATGCCAGTGGGAGGGAGCTGCTGAGTGCTCAGGGTGGGACGTGGGGCAAGGGTGATGCCTGGCCCCTGGGGTTTAAGGATACGGGCAGTGCTGTGAGGGGGAGCCTCGGGGGGGGGGGGGGGCAGGGGGAGAGAGTTATACCAGGTGGCATCCCTGGAGCTCACAGTGGGCACCAAGGTAAAAGCAGGAGTGGACTTTGTCCCCTTCATTTCTTGGCTTTAGTGCCAGTCTGGGGTGTGATCCCTGGGCACTGCCCACTCCCCACCAGCTCCCTATGGGCTCAGATGGAATACCCCTGTCTCCCCCTGCCTTCTTCCTGGGTACCTGCTACAGGCTGACTCCATTTACCCCCTTGGTGGTGGTAGCACAGTTACCTCTGCTTTGGCTCCTGCCATGGGGCATGCCCCGGCTGGCTATGCTTGGTCGCCAAAGCCACGCGATCTGGTGTCCTGTAGGGAGAGGCTGCAGACACTAGAGTGGTTGGAGGTGGGGGGACTGGGAGTCCTGGGTTCTGTCCTGGTTCTAGGAGGGGAGTGGGGTCTGGTCGGTTAGAGCAGGGGGGCTCGGAGTCTGGACTCCGGTTTCCAGCTCTGGGAGTGGGTGTGCTCTATAATGATGGAAGGGGGTGGAGGCCGGGAGTCAGGAATCCTGGATTCTTTTTTGGCTCTGCCACTGGTCTGCTGCATAGCTTTGCCTCTTTGTGTCTCTGTTTCCTCACACCTAAAGTAGGGATGATAGTGGGGCTGGCTAGGTTAGCTTTTTGGGTGAAGGGGGCCGTAGAAGAGCGAGCTGTTCTTATCAAAGGGGACCACCCTTGGGTCCTGCATTACAGCTTCCAGGCTTAGATAGTGACTCCCTTCGCTTTGGAAACGGCTGCTTTACAAAATTCAGAGCTAGACTCTGGGGCGCGCTCTAATGCCAGAGGCCTATTTTAGGGTTTCATGCTGCAGCCCATCACCGTCCCGTCCCGTCGTGTTATCTTATGTTCCTTATGAGCCTGCCCTTCTCAGCTTCTGGCTTGAGAGGGTTCGATCAGGTCTCAGATGCCAGATCGTAAAATAACTTTTAACCTGGGTTTCAGTTTTGTCTTTTGAATCTCTTCATTTTTTTAAATTTATTTTTGCTGGTAGACAAGTAGGTTGGAAACTCTAATATCATACAGGAGCTTGGAATTGAACCCAGGAGTCCTGCCTCCCAGCCCCCCCGTCTAACCCACTAGATCTCACTCCCCTTCCAGATCTGGGGATAGGACCCAGGAGTCCTGACTCCAGTACAGTTACCCTCTCACATAGTAGGGCACCACTGTTTGTATGTTCTGGATGCATCCTCTGTAATACACTGCATAACCCCCTCCCCCCCCATCACTCTTTATTCCTCTGAGGCTTAACCCCCATTTCTTTTGCTTCCCTCCCAGTCCTTCGAGGTCCCACTCTGCGTTATGGACTAAACATCTGCCCCGTTGCATTGGAAAGAAGTCTGCCGCATTTACAGACACACGTCTTCTTTCGTTGCTATCAAGAGCCCCTGAACAAATCTTCCATAACAGGTACGATTTCATATCTATCTCCTGCCGAACTGGATTTGATTTTCTGGGCTGGGTTGAGGCACACTGGTGGGGTCAGGGGAATTCTAGTGCTCCCGGCTTGAGGGAATCAGGGTGGGTGGGTGGTACTGCCCCCTGCTGGAGGAATTGGAGCCCTGTGGGTGTGTAGCTCTGTCTCCTGCTGGAGGGAATTGAGGGTTTGTGTGTATGTATGGGTAGTGCTGCCCCCTTGTTGGCAGGAATCAGGCTTCTGTACCTGTGCTCTCCCTCCCACTGCCCAGGCCGTGCCTGCCCTGGGGATGCACAGACAAACACCTTCCTTCCCAAGGGGCAGGAGTGGGTGTTGCCCTGTCTGATCGTGCCTAGCATGTCCTGTGTAGGATGGTACTCAAACAAGGCACTGTTTGCGAAGGCATCTTGCAGTGCTGGACTGGGTTTGCACATCTGCATTCATGTAGCGATGCCCCATGGGATCGGGGTGGGGGCATCTGTGTGGCTCCCAGCACGATGGGGGAACCCCAATCTTGCTCAAGGTGGGGGTCTTTGAGGCACCCAGCACGACAATAGCCTCCCATCTCTGTTCTGGCCTTTTCTATTTAGGCTGTGAGCGGTTTGGGGAAGGGACTGTCTCTCCCTGTATGTCTGCGTGGCGCCTGGTGCACTGGGAGTCCATGATCTTCACTGGGGGGCACCCAGCCATTGCAGCGCCCAGCCCAGTGGCAGAGACCCTCCAGTCCTGCATGGGGCTCTCCACATGCTATCTCACTATAAATGATAACGTTTCTATTAGTGAAGCTCAGATCTGCTGCACTGGGGTGCATTGCTTGATTTCCTGGTGGTATTGATGGCTCCTTGAAACTCTGAGAAATACCCCAGGGGGATCCTGCCCCACCCCCAGCCTTCCAGGGGAAATCCTCAGTTGGTCGCTCTCACAGATGTGACATTATAGTGCCAGGCATATTTAATATCCATACACATGGGTGGGAGAGTATCATTAAGAACAGCTGAGCTGTTTTAGTGCAAAATTCCAGAGAGGTAGAAAATCGACAGAAAATTCTGATCTTTAGGGGGGTTGTGGAGCAGGGAGTTGAGGGGTTCCAGATGAAAGTCAGGGCGCACCACTAGCGACACGCATTGAAATGGAAGCACTGCTCTTTGTATGGTTCCTACTCTAGCCTTGGAGTGCTGGTAACAACCCAGATCTCTAACCAGATCCTCAATAATCTCTGTGGGGATTGGGGTGGTTTACCTTGCCAGTGCCAGATTATACCCACTGTGCGCACTCAGTCTCCAGATCTGACGTCTAAATTCGTATCTGACTCTTTACCGCTGCTATAAGGGCAGGGCTGATTGTGTCTGGAAAAAGCAGGGTGATCTAGTTCTTTTGAACTTCTACCGCTCCCCTCAGCGTGTGTATAACTCATTAACTCTGTCTTGGTGTCCAGTGCGTTGAGATGAGGACATAGCCCCGAAGGACTCTGTTGTCCCCATCCCACTTGTATCTTCTGCCCCACTGCCATTTTGGCTTCAAAGTGTGCAGTGTTCTTGGGTACATGTGAAGGTGTAGCTCTGTGTGTCACGACTTTCCTGGGCAAATTCCAATGTGTCTAATTACATTTTGTCCTCCTAACAGTCCTCTTGTAATTTCATGAGGACATGGGATTTTTCTATACTTCCTGTCCTAAATTATGCACTGTTACCCTGCTGCCCTACCCAAGAGATGGCTGCAATTCAGTGCCAGACAAGTGATCTCTATGTGGTCTGGCTATTATCCAGTTGCCCCACCCCAGAGATGGCTCCATTTGAGCACCAGGCAAGCCATCCCTATACAGCGCCACTGTGCAGCTGTAATCCAGTTGCTCCATCCCAGAGGTGGCTGCATCTCAGTGCCAGGCGAGCCATCCCTGTGGGGCATTGCTGTACGGCTGTTAAAGCCACCTCTGGACTGGGGTAGCTGAGATCTCTGTGTGGCATTTGCTGCATGGGTGTTCCCCAGCTGCCCTGCCCCAGAGTGGCTGCGTCTCAACACCAGGTGAGGCATCACTGTGCAGCTGTTACCTAGCTACCTCTCCCCAGAGGCAGCTGCATCTCAGTGCCAGGCGATGTCTGTATAGGCAAACTCTTTGTGGTGAAATTTAAGGGACTAATAGGCATGTTTGTAACCCACCCACCAGTTCCAAGGCAGGCAGTTGCTGTAATTGGATCTATCCACAAGAGCCCCAGTTTACGGGTAGAGGAAAGGACCAGATTCCCCTGGCTCCTGCAAGCGAGCTGATGTCACCTGGGCCAGGCAGGGGAGGTTAGAGACTGTTTGCTATCCCATGCTAGCCTTCAAGCCAGAGACTAGGAAAAGCCTAGGCTGATGAAAGCTGGTCCATCTTGCTCGTTCCCCACTGGCTGTTCCTGCAGCAGAGATGGAGTCACCCCATCCGGGCCCTCCTCACCTGGGGTGGGATCGTCCCCCACAGGTTATTACCCAGGGCTCTTAATTTCTGGTCTCCAAAGTGAGGAGGCTCCTGTCCTTTCCCGTGAGAGAGATGAGAACATCAGTTATTAGACTCCTCTCTCTCGGGAAATATTTCCTAAGGCTTGACCTACATTTTCCTGAATTTCCTTGATGCTTCTAGTTCTCTTTTTCCCCCCTAAAGAATTTCCCCCCACGCTTGGCTTTGATGCTGTTCAAACACCGATTGACAGTAATCATGAACCCCCTGCTTAACTCAGCTCGCCATGGTTAGCTGCATGGCTGGTGGGTCTGGCTTATATGCTCTGGCTCACCAGGTTCATGGTCTGGAAGGAATTTCCTCTGGGTCAGACCAGCAGGGACCTTGGGGTGAGGGTGCAGGGGTTGTCTCCATCTGCAGCATGGGGTGCGGATCATCTGATGAGATCATCTCTGCACGACTCACCTAATCAATGCCCTGCCATTGCAGAGGCCTCAGTATCCCACCCCCATCCCTGACCACCCCAGATCAGACCCCTGGGCCCATCTAGCCCGGTATCCTACCTCCTCCCTGCCATCCCAGATCAGACCCAAGGGCCCATCTAACCCAGCATTATTGCCCCCTCAATCTTTCCTGTTCTCACAACGGCTGAGTCTAGAATCTGCTCAGGCCTAACTTTTAAGCCTGACTCAAACTGGATCCAAGCCCATGAGGATTGAGTTGTTTTCCCACCTAAGCCAACCCTTCCTGCTGAACCTGCATGCCCCGCTCCTGCTAGCTTCGGCTCCATTCTGCTTTGGGATTCCTCAGCACACTCACTCTGCAGTGCACACAGTGCAGCGAGGTGGCGGGCGGCCAGCAGGAACAGGGCCTGCAGTCGCCTTCGTGCCAACCCTGTGGCAGGAGGAGAGCTGGTCCGACCCGAACCCGAGAGCGGACGGTTGTTTTCCCACCTGATCTGGACCCAACACTTGTCGTTGGGTAGAAGGGTTCTAGTTTAGCCTCCCGAGGACTGGGTCTAACCCAGGTCAGTGGGCTCAGCACAGGGGGAACTGGGTGAAACTGATTGGTCCATGCTATACAAGAGGTCAGACTCGATCATCTAATGGGACTTTTTGGCTTGGAACTCTCTGAAATCCTTCCAGGCTTACCCATTAACCCTGGTGAATCTTGTCTCAATAGCCTAGTTGGTCTCCAGCTTGCTGGGATCGAAGGGGCCCTCCTGGTTGTGGGGGGGGGTGTCTGGTGGGGTGGATAGAGAGGCACTTTCCTCTCTGGACCTGGAGGCTTCTGGGATTGAGGGAGATGCGAGCAGCGTGGCAGAGCAGTCCCAGAGGTGGCCAGCGGGGGGTACTCTGTGTGTGTTTGTACTACTTGGCTGATAGTGGTTTTTCTCCTCTCTATCTCCCTCTCAGTTTAAATGAGTCATAATGGATCAGGAAAGTGGGGGTGACATCCAGAAAGCCCCCAACTTCCAGTGGAGAAGCTACAAGCTCGTCATTGACCCGGCGCTGCGGCGTGCCCCGCAGAAAGTCTACCGCTACGATGGAGTCCACTTCAGCGCCCCTGTGAGTCCAGGCATGGGTGGCAGTGGGGCTTCACTGCCTGCTCTGGGGGGCTGGGGGCTTGCCAACAGAGAAGGGGTAGCCTTCTTCCCTCCCCTTCTGCCTGGGACAGTATCTGGTGCTAGCCCACTGCATAGGCCCACCCTGGACAGCACTTGCTCACCTCTTACTGTGGACTAATACATCAGAGCAGTGGAGGCTGGGAGCCAGGACTCGTGGGTTCTGTCCCTAGCTCTGGGAGGAGGGTGGGGTCTAATGAGTTAGAGCAAGTTAAGGCTGGGAGTCAGGACTCCTGGGTTCTATTCCCCTTCTTCTGTCTCATTGTGTAACTTAGGGCACGTCCCTCCCTGTGCTCTGTGCCTCAGTTTCTTCATGTGTAAATAGGGCTAAAGCTCGGTGGGCGGGTTTGTGAGGGTCACTAATTGCTCTGGATAAAGCACACCGGGTCTACTCGTGAAAAGGGCTGCTGAAGCACAAAGCATTCTCACCTGCTGTCATATCATTGTGGCCAAGTTGTAAACCACGGGGCACTAGGTGGTGCTGTGCATATCAAGTCCCATTGCTCCATTTCCTCATCCTGAATGCGCGTGTGTTCCTGATGTACCTTGCTGCCCTGCACCGGGGACGCTGAAGCCAATAAAACACCGAGGGTGGGTGACGACTTGTAAAACCTTTTTGCAGATCTCAGCAGGAGAAGTGTTCCCATGATGTCTGTTAAATTCCACATGGTGTTGCCCTACCCTGCCTCAGTTTCCCCTTCAGTTTGTCATTCTCCCGCTTCCAGCGCTCCCCAAAGTCCACCTCCTTTTGGGGTATAAGCCAGCGATCCAAAGACTCACAAACCCAGCCTTGCCCTTCCTCTCAGAGTCTCTGTCTTCATTCGTCAGTCAGCCGG